CTCATTCGTTTTCCGGTGGTCATCTTGCAATCTTGCAGTCATCTTGGAAGTTTTAAGATAAATCTTGTCATAGCGATTTCAGGAAAACCAAACGGATTTACTTCAAATTTTCACACATGTTACATGGTAAGAAGTTCTAGAGCTAATTAACTTCTCGGTGGCCATCTTGCATTCTGGTGGACATCTATGAAGTTTTTTGATAAATCATGTCATCCCGATTCCAGGAAAACAATGTAACAGATTTATTTCAAATTTTAACTTTTTGGCAGCCGTCTTGCATTCTGGCGGCCATCTTTTCCAAGAAAACCACATGACAGATTGTCCTCAAATTTTTACACTTTACATGGTAAGGTGTTCTTCAACTGATTAAAGCCATTAAATTTTCGGCCATCTTGCTTTCTGGGACATCAAGTCCATACTGCTACGTTTTAGGCAGATCTTGTTCATCATGTGCTTTGTTTTTGTAACAGTTCTAGAACTTCTTAGAATGCAACATGTGTAAAAATGTCAAGAAAATCAGTTAAGTGGTCTTCCTGGAATCGCAATTACAAGATTTATTTAAAATCATTCAAGATGGTTGCAAGAATGCAAAATGGCTACTTAAAAGTTGATCAGCTGTAGAACTTCATACCATATTACATGTGTGAAAATTTGTAGCAAATCTGTTAAGTGATTTTCCTGGAATCGCGATGACAGGATTCATCTAGAAACTTCCAAGATGGTCGCCAGAATGCGAGATGGCCACCAGAAAGTTAACAAGCTCTATAACTTCTTACCATGTAACATGTGTAAAAATTTGAAGTAAAACTGTTGAGTGGTTTTCCTGGAATCGCGATTACAATATTTATCTAAAAACTTCCAAGATGACCCCCAGAATGCAAGATGGCCACTGAAAAGTTGATCAGCTGTAGTACTTCTTACCATGTAACATGTGTGAAAATTTGAAGCAAATCTGTAAAGTGGTTTTTCTGGAATCGTGATGACAAGATTTATCTACAAACTTCCAAGATGGCCGCCACAATGCAAGATGGCTATCGGAAAGTTAATCAGCTCTATAACTTCTTACCATGTAACATGTGTGAAAATTTGAAGTAAAACTGTTACGTGGTTTTCATGGAATCGTGATGATAAGATTTATCTAAAAACTTCCAAGATGGCCGACGGAATGCAACATGGCCACCGAAAAGTTAGTCAGCTCTAGAACTTCATACCATGTAACATGTGTGAAAATTCGAAGTAAAACTGTGAAGTGGTTTTTCTGGAATCATGATTACAAGATTTATCTACAAACCTTCCAAAATGACCGCCAGAATGCAAGATGGCCACTGAAGTTAATCAGCTCTAGAACTTCATACCATGTAACATGTGTGAAAATTTGAAGTTAATCTGTTAGGTTATTTTCCTGGAATCACGATGACAAGATTTATCCCAAAATTTCCAAGATGGCCGCCAGAATGCAAGATGGCTGCCGAAAAGTTATTCACCTCTATATTTTCTTACCATGTAACATGTGTGGAAATTTGAAGTAAATCCGTTTGGATTTCCTGAAATCGTGATGACAAGATTTATCTTAAAACTTCCAAGATGGCTGCCAGAATGCAAGATGGCCACCGAAAAAATAATGTGGTCTAGGACTTTTTACCATGTAACATGTGTGAACATTTGAAGTACATCTGTTAGGTGGTTTTTGTGGAATCGCAATGACAATATTTATCTGAAAAAAATTCCAAGATGGCCACCAAAATGCAAGATGGCCGCCGCAAAGTTAATCAGCTCTAGAACTTCTTACCATGTTACATGTGTGAAAATTTGAAGCAAATCCGTCTGATGGTTTACCTGGAATCGTGATGACAAGAAAGTGAGACTTCAGAATGCCACCTTGTCTAACCCCGTTTTGGTGCCTTTTGCCCCTGTTTACATCAATAGAAGAGGTGTTTTCTTTAAGAGGGAAGTCTGTTCTTTCAAACGGTACAATCATTTTATGTGGGAAAGTACCGGACAACAAAACTTTTTTTCAGAGGGTCCAGATCAGGGACTAGATGGTCTCGACATAGCTAAGAATTTCAGTAATTTTTTGGGGTCAATTGGTCATATTCTTGCAAAAAGATAAACAATAGTCTAGATCCAATGGAAAATTTCAGCAAAACTAATTCAAATAATAATATTTTAACACCTATTACTGAAACTGATGTCATGGACCAATGGAAATTAAATCTTTAAAATACTCTGCTTCGTCTATAGATGATATAAAACCAATTAGCGTAGTGAAAACACTGAATGAATCATTGTCAACTCCTCTTACTCAGATATTCAATTTATCGATTACTTCTGGTAAGTTTCCTGATGCATTAAAAATGGCTAAAGGAATTCCAATTTATAAGAAAGGCCTCGAAGATTTTAACAACTATAGACCAGTTTCTATTCTCAGTGTACATGTATTTTCTAAAGTGCTTGAAAAAGATGTTCATGTAATGCCTGGGTCACATTTGCTCCGATCCATCGTCCGGCGCCCGGCCGATTGAGTATTTTGTTCAAAATTGAATACAATATTGAACAAAACACTCAATCGGCCGGGCGCCGTAGTGAAAATCGACTTAATTCGATTTCAAAGGTCACTATTGATCAGCTGTTCACTTCTCCGTTTGAGAGCCATAAGTTTCAAAATCTAACATGGCTCTCGAAGTGAGTAAGTGCTCTGGTAAAATAGTTTGAGAAGCTAGGCTTCAAGTGCAAGCGACGATGATGGAGAGTGGAGACTGATCTCTCATCACATGTGACATGTTTGTCCAATCATGCAATTGCAAACTTGACATCGATATGGTATAATTCGAAATTCCGCTTTTGTATAACATATAAGAATAAGACAGACTATACAAGGGGTGATCAATAAGTAATGGGCGCTTTTTACACAGGTGCGTTTTATAGACCAATCTCTTTGATTTTTTGCAAGTGATACATCATTCAATCATTTATCAACTCTGAAGATTTGAAAACAAAACATGTAAAGTATTTTGATATATATCTTTATTTCTGTGAAGTAACATGTAACATGTGTGAAAATTTGAAGCAAATCTGTAAAGTGGTTTTTCTGGAATCGTGATGACAAGATTTATCTACAAACTTCCAAGATGGCCGCCACAATGCAAGATGGCTATCGGAAAGTTAATCAGCTCTATAACTTCTTACCATGTAACATGTGTGAAAATTTGAAGTAAAACTGTTACGTGGTTTTCATGGAATCGTGATGATAAGATTTATCTAAAAACTTCCAAGATGGCCGACGGAATGCAACATGGCCACCGAAAAGTTAGTCAGCTCTAGAACTTCATACCATGTAACATGTGTGAAAATTCGAAGTAAAACTGTGAAGTGGTTTTTCTGGAATCATGATTACAAGATTTATCTACAAACCTTCCAAAATGACCGCCAGAATGCAAGATGGCCACTGAAGTTAATCAGCTCTAGAACTTCATACCATGTAACATGTGTGAAAATTTGAAGTTAATCTGTTAGGTTATTTTCCTGGAATCACGATGACAAGATTTATCCCAAAATTTCCAAGATGGCCGCCAGAATGCAAGATGGCTGCCGAAAAGTTATTCACCTCTATATTTTCTTACCATGTAACATGTGTGGAAATTTGAAGTAAATCCGTTTGGATTTCCTGAAATCGTGATGACAAGATTTATCTTAAAACTTCCAAGATGGCTGCCAGAATGCAAGATGGCCACCGAAAAAATAATGAGGTCTAGGACTTTTTACCATGTAACATGTGTGAACATTTGAAGTACATCTGTTAGGTGGTTTTTGTGGAATCGCAATGACAATATTTATCTGAAAAAAATTCCAAGATGGCCACCAAAATGCAAGATGGCCGCCGCAAAGTTAATCAGCTCTAGAACTTCTTACCATGTTACATGTGTGAAAATTTGAAGCAAATCCGTCTGATGGTTTACCTGGAATCGTGATGACAAGAAAGTGAGACTTCAGAATGCCACCTTGTCTAACCCCGTTTTGGTGCCTTTTGCCCCTGTTTACATCAATAGAAGAGGTGTTTTCTTTAAGAGGGAAGTCTGTTCTTTCAAACGGTACAATCATTTTATGTGGGAAAGTACCGGACAACAAAACTTTTTTTCAGAGGGTCCAGATCAGGGACTAGATGGTCTCGACATAGCTAAGAATTTCAGTAATTTTTTGGGGTCAATTGGTCATATTCTTGCAAAAAGATAAACAATAGTCTAGATCCAATGGAAAATTTCAGCAAAACTAATTCAAATAATAATATTTTAACACCTATTACTGAAACTGATGTCATGGACCAATGGAAATTAAATCTTTAAAATACTCTGCTTCGTCTATAGATGATATAAAACCAATTAGCGTAGTGAAAACACTGAATGAATCATTGTCAACTCCTCTTACTCAGATATTCAATTTATCGATTACTTCTGGTAAGTTTCCTGATGCATTAAAAATGGCTAAAGGAATTCCAATTTATAAGAAAGGCCTCGAAGATTTTAACAACTATAGACCAGTTTCTATTCTCAGTGTACATGTATTTTCTAAAGTGCTTGAAAAAGATGTTCATGTAATGCCTGGGTCACATTTGCTCCGATCCATCGTCCGGCGCCCGGCCGATTGAGTATTTTGTTCAAAATTGAATACAATATTGAACAAAACACTCAATCGGCCGGGCGCCGTAGTGAAAATCGGAGCAAATGTGACCAAGGCATAAGTGACACCATTTTGAGGAAAATATGATATTTTTTATTTACAACAATTTCATTGATATTTATGTTCAAATATAAGATTGTCTCAAATCATTTGACATTCCGTTCATTGTCTTTTAAGAGTATTTGGAATACATTCTCGATTTTTCAGAAATAAATGATAAACACTTGCATATTTACATATTAACATGTTATGAACGTTAATTGAAAGTTCCATTTATTTCATTAAGTTTAAAAATACATTTATTGAATAAATCTTGTTTAGCTTACCCGCTTTTTCTTTGAAGAAATAAGAAGTCATCTTCGTCTTCGTGTTGTTTAAATGTAATACATGGAACGCCGTTTATCGCAGTAAGCTCACTGATATTTCCAAATGCATAGTAGATTTGGTTACTGGCATATTCATCTAAAATAAAACCAAAACATCAATATAAATGCCCCATCATGGTAAGTAAACTTAAAAAATCCGATTTGTCTTGTTATATTCCTCTTAGTACGTTCCTTTTTGCATCTTTTACCTTTTTTGGATGTAACTTTTCGAGAATATGGAAAAATTAGTAACGATGGTCATCGCTATATGTTCAATTGAAGATATGGTCATCTATGAATCCTAAGGTTTTCCCACTCTTGTCTAACCGGTTTTTCATTTTGTTGGCTACGATTTTGGAACAGATTGCGAATTCTATTCAACTTTGCGTATTACAAGATGAACTGGAAGACACATTGGCACATTGGGTGGGCCCAGAAAACAATTTTGAGTGCCAAAAAAGATTTTGGGACAAAAAGCTTTATAGGGTCTGAATTAGTAGGCCTTTTTGGGCATTACTTGGCCTTCTTTGGCCAAATTATTAAAAAAATGGGCCTTACATTTTCAAAATATTGGGATTTCAATTTTGGGATTTAGGAGCCCTTTTTCAAATTTGAAATGTGCCCCCCCCCCCCCTTGTTAACTTCTGGATCCGCCAGTGAGACATGACTCTTAAAAATCTTGGATATGATAGACAATGATTGCATCTATTTTCACTGTCTATCATAATTGTTTTGATATATTAGCGAGCATTATAAAGGCTTGTGTTCAAACGTGGGTAAATCATCCAAGTGAAACAATTAATCAGTAAATTATCCATGTATATAACATTCTATTATAGACAATAATCACTGGACAATAAATGTGATTAGGCTTTATAATCCTCCAATAAAAATTATTTAGTAGAAAAAAATTAATTATGCCATAACATAGCTTTGCCACGTACTCAACCAAACTCCTATCAAACCATGATATTCCATGATATTTTCATGATAAGTTTGTTCATGGTGTAAAATCTTAGTTTTTATGAATAAATAGAGTCTTTTCAGACTGCAAAATTCTATTTTTGTTTAATTTGTTTTCATGACCATTTTTTAACGAATGTCAGTCCTTACAAAGTAAATCAAAAGGGGGAACTATGTGCTCTGTTACTTCCTGCGAAAGCTATTTGGATTTTGATATAATAGCTTTCCCACGGAGCATTTGGACAGCTCAATGATCGTGACCTTTGAAATCGAATTAAGTCGATCCGCGGCTTACTTTTGGTCTATAACTGTGTCTTACATCAGTATCATTAATCCGTGTAAGTATTGGAGCGCTGGAGTACTTCTTTTTCGATCAAGACTTGTAATTGTTAGTCGAGTGAATCGTTTTACTGCCAAATTCCAATATGGCGGTTTCTGCTCGGACATTTTCGTAAATCTCCGGAGGTTTCCGAACCTAACTAATTCTCAAAATTCATTTTGTTCGTTGCGTATCTCGCACCTAGCAAACCGCCATATTGGAAATAGGTCTGTAAAACTTTAACTCGATGAACAATTTACAAGTCTTGATCGAAAAAGAAGTACTCCAGCGCTCCAATACTAACACGGATTGATGATACTGATGTAAGACACAGTTAGAGACCAAAAGTAAGCCGCGGATCGACTTAATTCGATTTCAAAGGTCACTATTGATCAGCTGTTCACTTCTCCGTTTGAGAGCCATAAGTTTCAAAATCTAACATGGCTCTCGAAGTGAGTAAGTGCTCTGGTAAAATAGTTTGAGAAGCTAGGCTTCAAGTGCAAGCGACGATGATGGAGAGTGGAGACTGATCTCTCATCACATGTGACATGTTTGTCCAATCATGCAATTGCAAACTTGACATCGATATGGTATAATTCGAAATTCCGCTTTTGTATAACATATAAGAATAAGACAGACTATACAAGGGGTGATCAATAAGTAATGGGCGCTTTTTACACAGGTGCGTTTTATAGACCAATCTCTTTGATTTTTTGCAAGTGATACATCATTCAATCATTTATCAACTCTGAAGATTTGAAAACAAAACATGTAAAGTATTTTGATATATATCTTTATTTCTGTGAAGTCATGACGTCACACATTCTGAAACTATTTTAGCTCTTTTGAAAACATGCAATTGCAGTTGAATACAGGTTGAACAAAACAGACCACGATGGTCACATCATTTCGATACGCCATTGTTGATTTTGAATTGTTTTTCATCACTATATGGTATTCATGCCACCTTCATTCTACAGGCCCCTCTAAAGAGGTTCCAATAAAATTCTATACATTTCTTAATCATCCTCTTAACCCAAGATTGGAAGACAAAGCCGGATCCATTCTCTGGCATTGTAGCAAGCTGCAGTTGCCCAGCTTGTTTTATTTCATCGATGTCATTAAACCTGCATCAATTCTCTATATAAATAAGTCGTATAGAAATACATAATCACTTGTGGCCAGATCTGGACTAATGTAGTGTGTGTGCGCCAAGGGCTCCATGTGCAGGTCCAGAGATATTGTATCATGAACATTTTGAGATCGTTGTGCAGGGGCCCATATGGAGTAGGGTGTTTCCAACCCCTTCTTCCACAAAGCTTTCCCAAATCAACCTGCAAACCTTGCAACACTTTGACATCATAATAATACTTACCTTTTGTGTGTTACCAGGCAGCATGATATTTTAAACAACACTTGTAGTAAAAAAGTTCTAACTTAAGTATACCAAACTGGCTAAAAGAAACTTCAGAATATTTGACGTAAAAGTCGGTCCAGGGGTACCTGTATCTCCTTCACAGATATAAAGATATATCAACATGTATTATATACGTTGTCTTCAAATCTTCAGAGTCGATACATAAATAAATAATGTATCACTGGTAAAAAAAATCATAGAGATTGGTCCATAAAAAGCGTCCTTTACTTATTGATCACCCCTCGTAGAAGAAAATCACCATAACTCTCACCTGCACGGAATTTTCTTGAAAGCTCAACTGGAACCACACCGTCTTTCCAAAGCATTGTGTCACGCCAAGGTTTCCCGAGAGCATTCCTGAACTGCGCATTCTATAGCAATATATATCATACCATGTCATATCATAAGCAATACTTCAGCACGACAGATATTGCAAAATGTCATTATACTAATGAAAAAACGCATGAACATATTGAAAAATAACATATCGCCCTTGTAATTTTTGACACTATGGGAAACAAAATAAGGATTGATTCCACTGTAAATGTTTTATGTGTTTCATACTCTACGCACAGAGTCTAGTTAGAAGACGAAGCTCACTTTTGAGAAACAAAGTCGAACGAATGCAAAGGATAAGTGTTTCATTGCTCTCTATCCAAAGACATATCTTGATATGTAATAATAATGTTTTTAAAATCAATGCAAAGATTGAACAAAGGACCCACTATTTCAATAATAAAATGCCATGTTTAATGGGCCACTTCAATGTTTTAGCATATCAAAAATATTTTGCAACATTAGTGATGCCATTATGACTCACTCAGGTGGCAAAAACTTTTTGAAAAAAATTGAAATCTTTTTTCTCTGTCAATCTTTTCTAAATATGCTAGATTTTAATAATAAACCAATGTTGATTGTCTAACAAGGTCGAAAGGAAGAATATATTATGTTTTAGATATCATTGTACCATTGGTTTCTATGAGAACCAAAATTTTGAAATGCAATTTTCTCGGAACCATTTTCATACACTGATGCGTTCATTTCTCGCTTATTAAACAAAAAGTCCTTCAAAAACCACTTTTTGAAATTAAAAGAAAAGTTTCACATATCACACTTTGATAACATTGGGTAAGACTACAATATAAGCCAAAGTGGTTTAACTTTATGTGGGGACTTTAATCAAAACGAGAGGCAAATTGCATTCTTTACACACCTCTGTTTCGGATTCTTCTTTTATCTTTGTACAGCTGCTTTCAGTGTCATCATCGTCACTGTTCGCCTTTAGGTCTCCTTCACAATTACCTGTATGATACAATATAGAAATGTTAACGTTGGTATCGCTCTAACAACAATGTGAGCTTATTAGAGCAAACAAAAAGTTCCAAAAAGCAAGCCCAGTGTCCTGTTTATATTTTTGAAAATGGATTCTAGCAATACATTCCAACAATGTGAATATATTTGTTGAGACTCGATCAACTTGAGTTCTTTGAGAAAATGAGGATTTCAGCAAGGGTGCATTGACTTAACAGGGGGATATAGGATTGAATAATGACTTAGCATCGTGATACCATCATGTGTGTTACCATGGGGATGGATAAAAAATCCTCATTTTCTCAGAAGAACTCATGTTGATCGAATCTCAACAAGTGCATTCGTGTGGAATAGTATTGGTAGAATCCATTTTCGAAAGTAAGAAAATGGGTTCTTAACAAGGACATTAACGCTAAATACTAAGGCCTTTTTGAAATTTTTGGTTACTACAGAGGATACCCTGAAGTAATGCACCATCGGGTATTAATGAACCTAGCCTCATGATCTGCCTAAAAAGGAAAAATAATATTTTATCAAGACCAAAAATATTCTTTGAGTTTCTAGCCCAATTTGCTGTAGTAAACTTTGAAGGCCGGCAGAATCAGACATTTTGGGTGGAAGCAACTTGTTTGATTGACCTTCTAATGTTTTCTTTACTATCTCAACTTTATCTCCCACATATTATCAACTTGTAATAGGTAATTTAAGATTCAAAGTTATCTGCATTTATAGGAAAAAACTTAAATGAAAAAATATCTGATTTTTCTGGAATAAATATGAATGAACGTTCTTTAAGAAATAGAACATGGTAAAGAATAACATGGGCCAACTGTTGTATTTGAAGTATTTTATTCCGACTATCCCATGAAAAGGCAGCACATGTAAGTCAGTTCCTAAGATGAATAGACTTAAGTTCCATAGTCATCAAAATTAATTATGTTTGTCATTGGCTTATATTATTGTATTAACACGAATGTAGTACTACTAATTCCACAAATGTAATGTTATACTGATCCCTTTGTAATATTATTGACTAATAAATACTATAGCTAAAGAGAGTATATATTTTAAAAAGTGCAGAACTACACATCTAATAAAGTTTTAAGACCAAAGTGAAAAAATGGAAACTAGAGAACAGCAACTCTAAGGAGTAGCAAATCCCACCGAACAAAATATGTTTTCATAAATAACAGTCATCTTGAAAATTTCTTGCCGGACAGAGCTCCTTTGTCCGTAAGTATCAGCATATGAGCTTTGAACCAAATCCGTCCACTAGTAATCGAGTTATCAATGCTTACTTTTTTACGAAAAATGGCGGCCATTTTGAATTGAGCGGCCATCCTTCTCGAGTTGAGGTCCTACACCCATAAGGCATAAACCTATGTAATTTGAATCAAATCCGTCAATCGGTATTTGATTTATCGCCCGGACACACGGACGTACGGACGAACGGACGGCTTTCCTATATCCCCTCGAACTTTGTTCGGTGGGATAATAAAACATATAAATTAAGCATCTTCCAAACACAGGCCTCCAGAACTCGGACCTCCTTCTTTGGAAGGAACATAGTGGATGATGCGAGGGTTGTCCCAGAAGTAATGCACTATATGCTCTAACTTTCTTTAATATTCTTCAATTCAGCTGAAATTTTGTGTATATTTAACAATTGAAGTTTTATCTAGTTTTTAATTGAAGAATATTTATAGAGCCCAGTCTGGAGCACTGCGTTCGAAGGATAAAGAGAATCTTACCTCCAGTCTCTTCTTTATTCACTCCCAACTTTTCCTCTACAAAGAAAGATAGAATACAAAGCAATGGTTCGACTGTAAGTATTGATTAGATGCGAATCTCGTGCAAAGGTTGAAACAACATCTTTTTGAGGAATGATTAGTCCCCAATGCAGTCCAGGGCTATAAATCCTCAATTTGACAATGCAATGATTTAACAATGCATTTGTAGCGAAATTGGCCCACTAGAGCTTCTGGTGCCGCTGGACTAATTTGAAATGCTTTAACCTTCACAATTACATTTCTTTTGGTCTCTTCAAGGGCCATTTTAAGCGACAACACTTTCTCTTAGTACCACTTTCACATAGCGTTCTTTTGTCCACCCGATGCTGTCGAGTGATGCTTCATTGTCGTACGTCATTCTTAAACATTGTAATTAATTTCCATCCATTCTTCATATTAGTGCCTAGCACATTATTCTCTGGTACTCTTATATCCATTGAGTTACCCTTGGGTAAAATTTGCACATTTTTGGGTTGACATAAAGTAAAAACAATGAATTCAAGCCTATAGATGAAATTAGACAAAACGATCAATGTTTGATTTTAAATGTAAGTACGTACATACAATTATAAATGTGTTTTTAGCATAACATGAGATCTGGATGTATTTTTTATTTTTTTAAATTTTATTTTGTAACAACGGTCGTATGTCAGGAAAGTTCTGTTTATGAAATTACTGACGGTAGTGTTTTAGCCAAAATGCCAATTTTTTGCTTCAGTATTCTAAAGTTCATTTATTATTGCATTGTCTTTCTCTTGAAAGCCAATATTTTTAAAATCAAACTTACGTTCTCTATCTGCTATTTCAAATTCACTCATTTCATTTTCTTCACTCTCAGGACTACCACTCCCAACTTCATTACCGGAATCCCCTTCATCCTAAAAGTGTTTCATTTGACGTAGAATGATGATCGGTTCATAATTCCAGAAGTGTACCGAAATAATTCACAACCATGCGTTCAGTCTACTTACCAAATATATTTCAGGTCTTGAAACAGCAAAACATATAAAAGCAAATGAAACTATTGTCCGGATGTACCAAGCCATAATATGTATCTGCAAATTAAGTCCAATTTCTTAAAAATGTAATATGTCGTTTATGAGTTTCAGCAGTTAATGATCACAAGTTATGGATGGACAACCTTCCTTATAGGTTCCAATCTTTCTAGTGGACGAGGAGAAGCTAATTACCACGTGGGTAGATTAGATGTTCACCGGGGATGTATTAAAACACTTAATCCTCACAATCAGCCGATTGTCTATGCGGATTTGTTGCGCATTCGACCCTTTCAGATAATTTTATTTTTCATGTCGTTATATGGTTGATACATCATCCTTCAAATCATTAACAAATAGCAATTACAGTTAGATCATGGCTCACTTTAAACTGCTTAGATCTCTCCCTTTGTCTTTTTTAATTAATTGATCACAGTATTTCAACACATGAAGTTGGTAAGAGGAACATAATTAGATCAAATAATACATTTTAATTAAAAAGATTATGGTTGTTAGGACAATTAAAGAAATGGTTTATTGAAACGATATCATATCCAAATAAATAATATACAGTCGTTCAAATGTTCTCATTCTTTCTGAATTGTATTTAATTGAGTAATGCAGTAAATTAAAAAAATAGTATATGCGGTTCTGCTTCTCCTTTTATTGATATGTTGTTTATGTTTATGTTTATTTCCTTTTTTAAGTTCACACAAATATACAATGCATGAGTGGGTGACACTTTAAAAAGTGTATAGTCCCAACAAATTTGATAAATTATACAAAAACAACCCCAGATATTCTTCGCAGTTCATGTCCTTGAGCTTAAAGGCCCCGTGCAAAGTTTGAAAATATAGTTTGATCCTTCAAGTATTACTTTTCATGACTTGAAAACCCATTAGCCCGATGTATAAATGTATAAGAAAATTAGGTGTAATTAAGTTCCTGGAAAAATAAACTTAGAGAAGGACGGCAATCCCTGGGATCAGATCAGATGCCAATTTTCGATTAAAAAGAGTTGTACCATTGTCAAAAGATTCCATCGATTGCAGGGCCGTAAGGAGAGGGACCCCCCCCCCCCCCCCCTACCAAATCTTGACTAAAAAAATTCGAACCCACCTTTTCCGGCAATTATGCGAACCCCCAAGTTTTGAGTTAATGTTTTGCAGTATTTCACTAATTTATCGTTTTTTGATTACCTTAGATATTCGAGGTATATGCAAAGATGGAAATAAGTGAGATGTACAACTATATATTGTCAATGAGTCAATGAGTTTTGGCCCTTATTTATTTGATGAGCACAAAGTATATAAAATAGACAATTGAATTACACAACGTATGCTTGAATTAATTTGGAGGGGGAGTCTATGTCTGATAATGTCCTGAGCTATTTAATTTGGTAAAACATAAAAATTAAAGGGATTTTAACAGACATTTGTTGAAAAAAATTCTAGATTTTTGCCTATAAATGTTCCAAATGAACGAAATTGGTCAAAAATTGCTATATTTCACTTGTCTTATGCTTTTGCTCTTGCAGTTTGGAAAAGGTAAAACTAAATTCCAGCAAACTGGTAAAGATTAATAAAATCGACCAAAATTAAGCAGATTTGGCAAACTTTAAGCAAATTTGGCAAAATTTAATCAAAAAGGCAGAGAAAAAGTTTTACCAAAATCACCGTTAGGTGGCTTCAAAAAAATTGCCGAAAATATTCAAACCCCCTCCTGTCAAAACCTGGCTACGCCACTGGATTGAGTTATGTTGTTTGGTCATATTCTTGCTTTCCTATAGAAATGGGAAGGAGATTCAAAATTGCAAAAGAAAAGCGATATTGCTATTTATGTGACTCCAAAGAAATTGGAGTACCATGTACTTTTCGAATGCAACTATGAAAAACTTATAAATATACGTAAAGACTTTATTTTTGGTAGATTAAAGAAAAGTTTATACAATTGAATAACAAACAGCTATTTAGTTATTTACTTATGAGCCACGATAATGAACTAATGAATCCATGGGGTGAATTCCTAAACAAAATGAACCTTACTGTTGACACTCATAAAATACTGAGAAATAAAAATGATTTACTGAAATGGTTCCAAAAGAAAGGTGATGCCAAGTAAGCAAACAATATGATTATCTCATTTATATACTGCTCATAAATATTACTATACCCTTTCTTTGTATGCATGTTTCTTCATTGTAAACAACCATATATATTATACCTTTATTCTATGTATGCATGTAAATGACCAATACTCCAGAAGGAGATACGGAACAATAAAGTACTATCTTATCTTATCTTATATGCTTTTTTGTTTGTCTAGTGGTTTTCGGACTCTTGTCGTAAAATACAAAACTATAAAATACGATATGATATATATCCATACGTTTCAGAAAGCTAATGTCCATGCATGTAACTCATGGTTGATGTAACCATGATATAATTGTTATACAGTAGGACACTATAAACAAACAAACTTCAAAGACTTGAACTATGAAATCCAAATTCATTGGAGCGTGGCCTCCGGATCTGAAAGCTGGCTTCTGTTAAGGTTCACTGAAAGCATGAGAATATATCGCCCTGCCATAATTGTCATACCCAGAAGTAAAATATTACTACTATCTTGTTTAAAATTGTGAAATAAGGGTTACAGAGTAGAATAACTTGAAATAAAGTTATTTACCGTACATCTTAAATTGTAGATGGACATACAAGGTGGCATCTTGAAGTTTGGTGTATTTAAAGAGAACTACTACACATGAAAAATGAACAGAATGATATGCTAGAGAATACGCATTGTATGACGACAATAAATTGAAGTAACTCGATGGATGTCTCGAGATATAACCTTTGGACGACAACTCGGTCTATCGATTATCATATCTTTAATAATAAGGTTGGCTTCTCCATGACAACACCCAGCCTATCTCTCTGGTGAAAACCCTGGGTGAACAATTCTTTGTTGGCATCAACACTTTTGAAAACATGAATCTCTCGTCATATCTTCTAGCGTTTAGTCACAACATCTCTCTAGTTATCACGATCATCGCTTAGTGTTTAGTCACCACATCTCTCTAGTTATCATGATCATCTTCTAGTGTTAAGTCACCACATCTCTCTAGTTATCATGATCATCTTCTAGTGTTTAGTCACCACATCTCTCTAGTTATAATGATCATCTTCTAGTGTTTGGTCACCACATCTCTATCATGATCATCTTTTAGTGACAACTCGTCTCTAGTTAACATTTGTATACCACCGCTGTTTAGTTACTCTCTAGATAGCAACTGTCTAAATGGCATTTTCACTCAATAGGTTGTGACTGTTGACGACCACTTATTTTTTGTTACTAGTTGCCAAATCCCCTCTATTCCGGGAGCGTCTCCACTTCGCCAACACTACACTAGTTTCTGAGTGTCTCGGAACCACTCCTCTCTAGTTACCAATTGCACTTATGACACTACTCTCTGCATGTAGTTACCAGCTTTCTAGTGCCCATTCCTCTCTAGTTACCAACTGCCTGGTGACCATTCCTCTCTCGTTAACAACTGCCTGGTGGCCATTCCTCTCTCGTTACCAACTGCCTGGTGACCATTCCTCTCTCGTTAACATCTGTCTAACAACAATTTCTTTCCAGATACCAACTGTTTGGTGACCACTCCTCTCTAGTTACCAACTGCCTTGTGACATTTTCTGTCAAGGTAGGTAGTGACTATCATATGACCACTTGTTTATAGTTACCAATTGCCTAGACACTTTTCCACCTTTGTTAACAACTGTTTGGTGATCTTTCCTCTCTAGTTTAGACTGTCTAGTGTCCACTCCTCTCAGGTACAATGACCACTCCTCTCTAGTTACCAACTGCCTAGTGGTATTTTCTGTAAAGGTAGGTAGTGACTATCATATGACCACTTGTTTATAGTTACCAATTGCCTAGACACTTTTCCACCTTTGTTAACAACTGTTTGGTGATCTTTCCTCTCTAGTTTAGACTGTCTAGTGTCCACTCCTCTCAGGTACAATGACCACTCCTCTCTAGTTACCAACTGCCTAGTGGTATTTTCTGTAAAGGTAGGTAGTGACTATCATATGACCACTTGTTTATAGTTACCAATTGCCTAGACACCTTTCCACCTTTGTTAACAACTGTTTGGTGATCTTTCCTCTCTAGTTTAGACTGTCTAGTGTCCACTCCTCTCAGGTACAATGACCACTCCTCTCTAGTTACCAACTGCCTAGTGGTATTTTCTGTAAAGGTAGGTAGTGACTATCATATGACCACTTGTTTATACTTACCAATTGCCTAGACACCTTTCCACCTTTGTTAACAACTGTTTGGTGATCCTTCCTCTCTAGTTTAGACTGTCGTCTAATGACATTTCCTCTCAAGGTAGTGACTATCCTATAACCACTTCTCTCTAGTTACCCATTGCCTATTGACTTTTCCTCTCTTGTTATCAACTCATTGGTGAACAATCCCCACTTGTTATCAACTCTTTGGTGAACAGTCCTCACTTGTTATCAACTCATTGGTGAACAGTCCCCACTTGTTATCAACTCTTTGGAGAACAGTCTTCACTTGTTATCAACTCATTGGTGAACAGCCCCCACTTGTTATCAACTCTTTGGTGAACAGTCCTCACTTGTTATCAACTCATTGGTGAACAGTCCCCACTTGTTATCAACTCTTTGGTGAACAGTCCTCACTTGTTATGAACTCATTGGTGAACAGTCCCCACTTGTTATCAACTCTTTGGTGAACAGTCTTCACTTGTTATCAACTCATTGGTGAACAGCCCCCACTTGTTATCAACTCTTTGGTGAACAGTCCCCACTTGTTATCAACTCATTGGTGAACAGTCCCCACTTGTTATCAACTCTTTGGTGAACAGTCTTCACTTGTTATCAACTCTTTGGTGAACAGTCTTCACTTGTTATCAACTATCTATTGAATAACGGACTGTCCAGTGGACGACTCAGTAAGACAAAAACTGGAAAAGGTATATTTCAAATGTGGAGATTGAGAAAACCATATACCTTAACGTAAATGACTGGGTTCAGAAGTCAGTCTGACATTTTCAACCAATTTTTAAAGCTTTTGGATACTCTAGGTCATATCTTGCCTTTTTCTTGAAGTGGCAAACGTAAGAAAACTTAACCCTGAGAAAGTAGTTAATTATGATATAAGAATTTGTGAGAACTTTCACAGTT